ATATTGGAAAAGGGTGTTATTCGAAAGTTGTGGAGTCCTTAGGCATGTGAACCTCATCTTTTGATGAAACTTGATAGGAGTATTTTTTTCTGCATTGACTATCATTTGTTAAACGAAGTGACAATTTTGGATGTGTACCCTCTTCTTCACATTACTGATCTCTTGAATTGCTTAGGGAAAAGTTGTTGGTTCACCAAGTTAGATCTTGGTTCTGGGTAGTGACAAGTACCGATAGTTGAAAAAGATATTTTTAATATTGATTTTCATACACCATTTGGTTTGTATGAGTTCTTGGTGATATTGTTTGGTTTAAATAATGCTTCAATGACTTTCTAATAGATGATGGATAAAATTCTTTGCGATATGCTAAAGGTGACTATTGACTTCATTGATGATGTTTTGATCCACTTAGAGGGGATGTGGAAGAAACATATCCATGATGTTCGTAAAGTGTTGGATCAATTATAGGAAGTTGGTTTAAAGTTAAAATAGTTGAAATGCGTGTTTGGGTCCAAAGACACGACTTATCTTGGGTACCATATTTCTTGTGAGGGTTTGCAAGTTGATTCTAATAAACTTGTGGCTATTATAAAGTTCCCTACTATAAATTATGTGAATGATATGTAGCGCTTTCTGGGCAAAGTGCAGTATCTCGATTGTTTTGTAGATCATTTTTTTGATCGCACTACACTATTGCGAGCTTTGCTGAAGTCATCAATGAGATCTTTCATATAGTTTGCAAGCTGTGAGCAAGTGTTCACGAATCTCAAAAAGCTATTGATGACTCCTCCGGTTTTAGCATATTCTAACTTCACTTAACTTTTCATTTTGTGTGTGGATGCTTATGATATTGGTCTTGGAAGTGTGTTGATGCAAGAGAGCTTGAAATTGTTTGGTCAGCACCATCCCATTACATATTTAAGGTGTACATTACAACTAGCAGAGACAAACTATTCCACAATAGAGAAAGAGTATTTAGCAGCAATCTAGGGTTTTGAGAAACTTCATGCATATCTACATGGTTCTTAAATGTTACTAAAGGGTGATCATGCTACCGTTACTTCATTATTGAAGTGGAATAACCTAGTTGGTTGTATTGCTCAATGGGTTTTGAAACTTTATTTATATGATTTTGATATTGTCCATCACTCGAGTAATTCTATAGTTAATATTGATGCCCTTTCTTGAGCTCCTCTTCCTTCTTCACTTTCTTCTCATACTTCTAATGAGCTTATTGTTCCAGCATCTATAGATTTTTTAGATGAGGATTCTGTGCCATTAACGGTTGTTGTACTTGACGTTTAGTGTCTACAAGGTGTAAAGAAATATTTACCTTCTCTTGATGAAGTTTGCGAAGCTTAAAACATTGAGTTACGGATTCAAAGGCTTTGAGATAGGTTTGAGGATCTTACATCATTTGCTGATGATTTGCCATTTCAGCATTTACATTCTCAGTATCACTTTGAAGACGGCTTTCTTTATTTTATGGGGATAGCTCCTGATGATCATTTACGGTTAGTGGTGCCTTCAATCTTTATTCCACAGTTTTTCCATATCTACCATGATTCATCTGTTCTAAATAGGCATATAAGATATTGTTGTATGACCGAGAAACTATACAAGTCTTACTATTGACCAGAGATGTGATGTAATATTACCTAGTATATATGTAGTTGCATTTGGTGCAAAACTTATAATAATCCCCCTTGTGTTGCGAAAAGATAGTTGGAGTCAATTGCAATTTCTTTTTATTTGAGTTAGTGGTGTTTGATCTTATAGGATCTTTTCTAAGGTCGACTATTGGTAATGAGTATATTATTATTACTTCTGACTACTTAACTTGCTAGGTAGAAGTTTTTGCTAGCACCTATATAAATGTTGTTGGATACTTTCTCCTCAATTGAGTAGTGTTCTAGCATTTTTGTTCAGAGAAGATTCTTTTGGATAATGGTTTTGCATTTATGATTGAGGCATTTCATGTTTTGACATCTCAATTGGGGATACACCACACTTTCACAAATGCTTATCATCCACAGTTAAACAGTTTGGTGGAATGACTCATTCAAACATTCAAAAGGATGATCATGAAGTATCTGAACTTTGCATTCTGATTGGGATGGCTATTTGCCATCTTTTTGCTATGCATATATCACAAGGTGCAAAGTTCTATTAGTGCTTCACTATATAAACTCTTATATGGTCATGATCCAATATTACCAATAGAGTTGGGTTTACTTTTGTGATTGCCACGAGCTGCAAATGCTAGGTTATAGGATCAATATTTGACAAGCATTCTTCCACTTGTCTGAGCAAAATTTGCCGAACACTTAGCCATATACAAGTGGGACAACAATGGTGTTATAACTTTTGTCATCGTCCATTTATAGAGTACAAAGTGGATGACTTGGTGTTAGTCTATTTTCCCCATTTTACGGTACGTAGTTTATCTAAAGGGTTCCTTACTTAGTGGAAAGGACCATATCGGGTGTTGCAACAAGTTGAATTGTAAGTTTATGAGGTTCAGTATAAAGTCCAGCAAACTAATCCTCCAGAAATTGTGCATATTCAATGGTTGAAACATTTCGTATAAAGGGATCAAGAACAACTAATACCACCTATAGATCCACTAATACCTCTTCCTGATGTTCTTTCAAATCCCGTCCCATCTATAAGAGAACCTTGATGATCTTCTATTACTCCAAGAGGAGGGGATAATGTGAAGTCCAAGTGTACACTTAAGATGCCATATATTAATATTAGCATAGTGAGATTTTGGTAGTCGTTAGATTGATTTTAATTAGTGAAATTTTGTAGCCGTCGGATTGATTTAAATTTAGACCACTCGCTCCTATATATAAGTTAAGGTTTTTAGGCTAATTGATATGCACATTTTCTGTATTCCCTTTCCATATTCCATACACCCACAAAGATAATTTTATTATATATAAAAACTTATATAGTAGAATAAACTAGAATATACTAGAAAGTGTTTAGAACAGTTTATAAATTATAAATAATAAATTATTCTAAATGCATTACATAATAGAATATAATAGAATATCCAAGAATAATCTAAGTATATTCATTACCTTACAGGTTTGCTTAAGCATACCAAAAATACAAAAAATTTAAAATAGCTAACACTGATTTTGAATGTTTTATAGTTAGATATTACAGATAAATATACTTTTTATAGATTTTAATAAACATCTCAGCCAGATAAAAAATATCAATGATCCTTTTTATGGCATAGAAATCTTTAAGAAGCTTGTAAGTTTCTTTGTTATTTTGTGTCTCTTCCTATAATTGATCACAATTGTATGGATGAAAAACTAAAGGTGAATAAATAATAATAATAATCTTCTGCTCATTGTATATAAAAAAATTTGGTTTGCTTAATAGTATTGTCATTCATACTTAGTATTGTTGAATAATCCAATTTATCAATAATTATAAACATGTTTATAAATTATAAATACAAGTTTAATCTAAATGAATAGATAATAGAATTTCCTAGAATATTCAAGCATATTTTAGGTATATCCACTACCAAAGATATTTTAAATCCCTTTATGCCATAGAAAAGAATAATAAACAATAATAAACCAACCTTTGTAAATGAAGTTCTTTCTTGTGACTGCATTCGTTTTCAAAATCCAAGAGATGGCACCACACGAGAATGACAGCTCCAGCAATGGCTCCTGGGCTGGAGCCCTGGTATATATTACGGTTTTTTGAGTGATAAAGTGATTAGTAGAAGAGCATCAAAGAACAATTCCACAGTGCATAGTTTGTTTTTGGTAAAGGGTCTCCATGACCATGCTATCAGGATCATGTGTGGACGTACTTGTTTGGTTTTCGTCCCACTTCCTGAGAGAAGCTTGTTGGCAGCTTTTGAGTTTGACAAGAGGGTAAGTCTCGTTTAGTTAGCGCAGAATATTCGTGGCTTAGCTGGCGCCGTCGTCAATCGCTCAAGCTTTAGCTGCGATGGCGCCCGGGGAGTGGCATTGCCCCAATCGGCCGACGACGCAATTGTAGCATTGCCGCCATGGTTGGAGCTGTGCCGCCACTGGATCCTTCGCGTCGACTGGCGCCGTGGTTCCCCCGGTAGGGTAATTGGATGCTGTGGAACGGATCAGGGCGCGGGGTCGGCGAATTCCGCCTGGCCAAGGCCAGCATTGTTGGCATGAGCCGCTAGGTAGGTAGCGAGGGCGTAGGGATTTAAGTAATCTTTGTGGATCTGTCCGCGGCACTCTAGGGATTTCTCATCCAGATCTACACGGAAGAACAAGGAATGGCGCAGCAATCTGGGCCGTCGTCGTCGAGAGTGAAGCTCATGATTTTTTTGCTTGCTCTGGCCCTGGGTATGTACATTGTTGGCCCGCCATTGTATTGGCAGCTCCAGGAAGGCGCTGCTTCCAGCATCCAGGTGGAGTGCCCGGTTTGTAGCTGCGATTGCTTGACTAGCAACTTGGTGACTGCTGCCGTGTCAAGTAAGTTTCTCCATTTTTCTTCTTTTATTCTCTTTAACGTTGGGACTGTTTGGTTTTTTCTACAGACTTGGGGAACCTCTCGCTCCTCGGTGAGTCTACTCGTTCTTCCTTTCTTGTGTACTCAAGTTGTGTGGGTGGCAGATTGCAGCAGAGACGATCCGGAGATGAGAGAAGAACTGGACAAGAACCGCCTCGAGCTGCTTAACGAGGACCTCAAACTCCAGGAGATGGTGGCCGAGGATGATCGGCGGCGAGCGGAGATGGCCCTGGTCGATGCGAAGAAGCTCTCGTCTCAGTACCAAAAGGAGGCCGAGAAGTGCAATATAGGCATGGAAACAAGCGAGGAAGCCAGGGAGAAGGCCGAGGCAGCACTCGGAGAAATGAGAAAAGTAGCTGCCCTGTGGGAGGAAAGAGCGCGGCGACTGGGATGGAAGGACAGCGGCGATGGCGAAGCGAATCCCATGAGACGGCGAGCGCTCAAGTTTCGATAGAGGTACTAGAATGCTCTTCACAACTTTTTGAGTCATGTTTCTTCTTTCCAGAACGTTTTTGGTTTCATCCAGTAATCGGCTGGCATTTTTCTCTCACAAAGAGATTTTTCCGAGAGCTTGCGACGAAAGATGGACCCCAATCAATCGCGTCCTAATAATCCCAGAGCGTTCGGCACAATCTCTGTATCCAACTTTGGCTAATGGTTTTGGAAGCCTTGCGGTTTTCCAGCTGCTTTGGTACTGATGGAATTCTGGATGTCTCAGGCGCTCAGAAACTCCTCCAGGTCGTCGCCGAATTGCATCAGGTCGAAGTTGAAGTCTTCAAAGGTGTCTTCGTTCATTGCGGTTTCCTGCAAGCCACGGGGTGTTTAAAAATGATTTCTTCTTTCATCTTACCTGTGCTTGTCGTAGATATTCCGCTCTGAATTCCTCCCGAGCAATGGAAATGTTGTTGATTTCATTGCTTAAATCTGCCTGATTCTGCTGTTCCTGACCATTCACTCCTGCGGCAAGAAACATAGAATGTGAGTTTTTTTTTTTTTTCATTCTTGAGCAAGCAAATTTCTTACTCTCAAAGATTCTCTGTTTGGCTTGTTCATATTCTTGAAAAGTAGAGTTCGTCGTCTCGTCAATCCCAACATCGGATGCCTGGAAAAAGAATATTAGGAAGGAAATCTACTTCTTTTGCTTACCAGGTTTCCAAAGATATGTTCCTTTGTGGGAACAGACGAAAGCAACCTGAAAGATGAGAAAGTTATTGACGACAAATACCATCAAACAAAGATCTCAGCGTACCTGGATCGTGCCAGCTGCAAACGCTCATTAATCCGGTTGATACGACGCTCGGTAGCTTCTTTCACAGTTTTGAGAGTAACACAGGTATGGCCATAGAGAAACGCTTTGTGCCTGACCATGTAGCGAATTACGTGCAGTGGAACGGGATCCGGTCCCTCCCTCACGATTTGAGCGAGAGATAAGAGCCATTGCAAATTTTCTGCAAGAGAAGCAAAACTTCAGTGTTATGACGAAGAACATAAAAGAAAATAAAAGGGATACTACTACGACTACGTACCTAGAGACAACTTTAAACATCAGGAGGAATTCCTGGAACCATGTAAAACTAAACTCATTAGAAAGGAGGAGAAGATAGAGAAGAGAAGGAAAAAAAAAAAAAAACAAAGAAAGGAGTTGCGACAATGCTCCATCTAGAAAAAAAAATGGAAGAGCTAACGTACCGAGAGACAAGTAGACTTTAACTCTGGGAGAGTATTCCTGCGTTTCATAGAGAATGTAGACCGCGTAGAGGGCTCCCAGTCTCCAAGAGAAAGGCTCCTCTGGAGAAAGATGAACTAAACGAACGAAATAGATTGAGGGATCAGAGAGGAAGAAGCAAAACGAAAGAAAATTTGGCGTACCACAGGCAGAGGTGTAGAGAATTTGCATGAACCGCGAGGGCTCCAATTTGGCGCGACGGGCCTGGTGGATGAAGGAGAAGCCGCGGCATCGCCATACCTCCTTCATCTGCGCCAGCTGCGTGCACCCAAGGATCGCAAACGCCTCGATCAGCTCGTCCACATCGCGCGATAGCGCAGTGTATTCCGCCGCTGACACTGCGCCAAGCACTTCCATTCAGCCTGTAAAGTTTAGGGCACGGATTAGGGCTGATGGTCCTAGCAAAAAGCGAGACGATTCTGAATTACTACGTCGAGCCTGACGTTTCAAGTACTGTGAGGCAGAGCGGGGAAACAACGAGCGCCCCTTACATGCTCCTAAATCCAAACAGCGCTGGGATATGCTCTGGGGCGGAGTGGGGGTTCGAACAGAAACATGACCCAAATGTGTGAAGACCTCTATCGAAACTTTGTTGTTCATTCGCTGAGTCTCGGAGCAAACGGATCCCTGGAAACCCGTCCTCTTGAGATAGAGAATATCGCTTTAGATCTTTGTGAGCTTCACATTGAGGGGCTGGTAGATGATGGCATTGGTCATGGCCTGGACTTCATCTCATCGTGGAAGAGATGTATGAGCAGATGTTGTGGACGGGCCTTGTGAAGTCGTATCAGCATCTGTAGCGTTGGCTGGAGGCACTGCATTTCATCCACAATCTAGAGAAATGCTAAGCTCAAGATCCGGTGTGGAAGCTTGGGCTCGCAGCATTGCTCTTGCTTGGGACACTCATTGGAATGATGCAGCATGTCATTAGTGTTGGCATTGAGAGCTGGAACTGGTGGCACCACTGCTGGAGGAGATGCTGGACAAGCTTGTGTTGGGGGAGACGTTTGAGGATGCTCCTACTGCGTTGTGCTCCTCTGGCACCGGCAACTTGAGGTATAGAGTTCATTTCTTGGCACTTGTCTTAGTCTTGGCATCATCCAGTAGGGTACTTATGGGCTCAAGATCTCATTCTTGAGTATTCTCTTGAGTCTCCTCACCTTCAGCTTCATTACCTTTGTCCTTGGTGGTTCCTTTAGGAGTTTTCCTGCCCTTGCGCATTGGAGTTGGCTTGGCCTTGCACGAGGGTGGTGTTGTCTTAGCTGTTGCTCTTCATCTCTTCACTGGTGGAGTTGGTGCTGGTGGTGACTCTTCTTTTTCTTCTTCTTCTTTCTTGCTTTCTTCATTGTCTCCTTCCTCTTCATCATCATTGCAAAAGAGGATCATATATTCTTGTCTTTTTGAAGTGCATTCTCTTTTCTTTTGTGTTCAGGGCATCCTAGTGTTGGTGGTGTTGCTTGGCCTTTTGTGGTTGTCACTTGTTGCTATTTCTTTGATTTGGAAGGATGTTTATGTCAAGCTTTGGGATAAGTACCATGATAAAGAAATATGAATGTCTTGCATTCAAAACTGTAGCACATATGGTTTTTACCCTTTATCCTATGGTGATTTACCATAGGATAATATCACAAAGCGGAACTTAAACCCTTTATGTGCCACATATTATATACCACATGTCCATAGGATAGTGGTGTGGAACCCGAGGTTTAGAGCCTTGGGCCACTAAATGAAGGAATGGTGCCAAACTCTTAAATATTGAGCCAATGAGTGATGGAACCAAACCATGGAGCAACTCTTAAGCATACAGCCCAAAGAGCAAAGGGACAGGAGCCCGGAGTGACTTGGAATAGTCCTAGAGCAATCAGCATCCCATTACTAGGACCAACACGCAAAACGGAGCCAAACGAAGTCTAATGCTATTTTGGCACACCAGTGGCTTAATGCAAGGACATGGGTATTCCACTAGCTAGCATGGAATGGAACTTGAGCTTAAACCCAAGCCAGACACAAAACAAGGACAGACATGCAACTGGGAGCTAGACTATACCTCAGGTTAATCAACCATACCCGACCTACCCACTATCCCTACTATACATTTGGAACCCCTGCAGCCCCCCCCCCCCCCTGAGGAACACACGCTTTGGGCTTTCACCCCAAGCCTCCCTTAATATCAAGAGTTGGTTTCTGAGACAAGCTCAAAACTTATTAAATATGGAATGGCACTAAATTGTGAATTTGGGCATGGGATGAACACCATTGTGTTCAAGACAATCTCTACATTCTGTAGATGTGCCAAATGAGCAAATTTAGACACTTTCCATAAATAGCATTTGGGATCAGAATGAGACTAACATAAAGGGCATGATAGCAAGGGTGTTTGGTAGATATGGTAAATTATCATCTAGTGTTATTGAGGGATTAGTTTTAATACGCGAGGGTTCTTGTCAAGCTAGTGCAAGATAGAACAAAAGAGAACTAAAAAGCCAGGCCAAGTATGCTTGGCAAAATAGACACTTAGGAATTCTGTCCTTATACTCATCTAGCCAAGTACAGATGCAAAGTCCAGTTTACTAACATTTGAACAAAAAGGACTGATAAAGGGTTTAGCAATACCGACCTCCTGCCGTCATGACAGTAAGGAAACAGTGTCCATAAGGACTGGTCGACAAGTAACTTTCGATACCTAAAGTCACATTTGCGACACTCTCCCCCCTAGGGAAGATCGACATCCTTGTTGATGCATACTTGAGTCTAGACCACCGCCAAAAAATAACTCCAAAAAAAGTTCACGATGATCACACTATGTGAGAAATGCACCAACTTAAATGAGTTAGGAGGCAACCTCTTTGTCTAACACGGATACACTACCAGCTCAAACACCTTCCGACTATTGCTGAAAAAGAAATGACCAACAAAGTTAGCCACCCTTGCTACTATGGGAGTCACCCAGCTTACAAAAGTGTAATACGCCCCTGCCCACAGGGACATAGAGAGAGAAGCCAAAGGCCTTAACCCTCATGAGCAAAGAAACCAAACCCATTGGTAAAGTTTAGATAAACTACTGTACATAGGTAGTTAAAGTTGTTTACATGGTCACGCCCTTTTAACGGAATAAAGAACATCGACAAAGAGGCGGGTTATGTGACCAGTCAACAGTAGTTACCCATGACTAAAGATTTCACCATGCACACGAAGTGTTAAAGTCAGTCTATTTATACTGGCCCAAAGTCAAAGATCAATAGATGGATAATATCAAAGTCAAAGACAATAATATCTTAAAGTTTTAAATATCAGTGATTAAATCTTAGATTAGAACACAAAAGTATTCCAAGTAAGTTATCATCCGATAAACCAATAGTAGAGCATAGAAACCACCAAAATCATCATAATTGGTAAACATAGGAACCACCATCGAATTGTAAGCAACCAAAGGGAACGACTCGAGAGACGATCCATAGGGTTCAAATATAGAGGGAAAGGGCCCATAAACAAGAGTGCACCCCCTTTTCCAATCGGTTAAGGGTCTTGGGATACTTGTGGTTAAGCGTCCTTGGGTTTGAATAGTACTGGGCTGGGTGACCTCCCGGGAAGTCCAAACTCAGAGCTTACATTGGTATCAGAGGAGTCTCGAGTCCGACTCTGTTGGTTGGCTAGGGGAATCATACCACATGTTGATTGACATCTGGCTGGTCCAGTTTGTTCCCGCTGGGCTCGACCCGAGGGGTAGGGTGTCAAGAGAGCGGGGCTCTCGGGAGAGCTGCGGCTCTCACCTTTCGTTCACGAGGGCGTAAACTTGCAGGGAAGCGTGGTGGATTGTAAGCAACCAAAGGGAATGACTCGAGAGACGATCCATGGGGTTCAAATATAGAGGGAAAGGGCCCATGAATAAGAGTGCACCCCCTTTTCCAATCGGTTAAGGGTCTTGGGATATTTGGGGTTAAGCATCTTTGGGTTTGAATAGTACTGGGCTGGGTGACCTCCCGGGAAGTCCAAACTCAGGAGCTTACACGAACAAAATTCAATAACAAGTATATCATTAAGGAAACTCAATGATAAAATTTAATTACCAAAAATTGTAAATAATATGTCAAACAACTTACCAAAGATAACTCAAAGAACACAAAGTATTATTAAATGGCAAGCAAAATGCTCGCGAATGTATCACTCAAAGGAAATAACATTCTAATCTATCAAAACTAACTCGAGCAATAATTAACAGAACAAAATGAATGTGATAACACCAACAAACACTCATTTATACCAACTATCGCACTAATCAATGTGAATAGATCTTAGTCAATAATACCAAAGAACTAGAGTTGCTCAAGCAAGCATTGGCAACATCCTATTAATGTCTCAAACCCAAGAGACCAATCCAAAGTTAACCATAAAGAACATGTAGTAATGCAAAAAACCAAAAGCCATTAAAGAGAACAATTAACTATCACATAAAACTATCAATCATCCCATCAATAAAGAAATGTATAATCATTGTCAAAGAAGGAATCCACCATCCCAAAGAATAGCAAATCATTCTATATCAACAATAATCAAGCAAAACTTTTTGACAAGGATAATCAACTATCCTATACGATAGTCAATTATCACCAATAAGTGCCAAATGCAAATACTAACTTCAACATCGAAACTAATGAGCCAAAATGCCTTTCTCAAAAACTTTTACAAAATGGAACAATGAGCATAAAACTCAAAGAACCAAAAGCTCGAAGAAGCCTATAGCCAAATCTTGCCAAATAATGATCACGAATCTTGCATGAACTAATTTCAATGCTAAAGAAGAAATCATGGTACAATCCATAATATCCTCCTTAACATATCCATAAGCTAAACTTCATAATGCAAAGTTAATGAAGAGCATGTTTGCATCAATCCAAAAGCTAAACATAATAAAGCTATACTCAACAAGTGATCACTAAACAATCCTCCATGAATCCATCTATAAAAGACATAACACACTTCATAACAAACACAAGAAGAATCATTAATGATGGATATATCCCAATTCAAATCTAACAAGGACTCAAATATTTCAATATCAATCACTAACTCTCCCTCTCGTAAGGCTAGTATAATCCATCATTGAATCACTTTTCAAGGAAAAGCTCAAAATTGAACTTTTATTAAACAATCTCGTCTAGAACACAACTAACTCAAACTTGCCACTCAGTTCGTTTGAACATCAATACAGTTGCTAACTAACAATTGTACAAATGCTAACAACATAAAGTTACAACCAAATCATCAACACTATCTTTATCAAGACTAATAAAACTCAATATCAATCCTAAGGAGAGATAACACCATTCGGTAAAGCAAGCCCATCACTATTAAATCTTCATCGAGT